CGGGCAGACAAGGTGCTTAGGGCCAGGGTTTTGTGGTGGGATGGCAGGGTTAGGTTAAAGGTTGGACTCGATGGTCTTAAAGGGCCTTTCCAACCTAGACGATTCTATGATTCTTCCCAGGCTCTGCAGAGCACTCAGATGGCCGATGGGCAGCGAGGCCTCTGGCAGAAGCAACCTGTATTCCTTTCTGCAGGGCACAGAGCTGCTGACAAACCTTCCCTGCTTTCTGCAAAGGAGGAGTGTTAAGGGAGGGAGGCAGGCTCTCCCCTGCAAATGCTGTGGCTGAAAGGACCTTGGGAGAGACCACTACCGGCTCCTGGGAAAGCTACCTGCTGGTTTTATCTGTGGCTTGCTGTTTGCTGCCACCTCCCCTCCCCAGGTGACTGCTAGCCATCTCTGTGGTCCCTGCTCAAAGCCCAGCGTAGCTGCAAGGGAAAGCCTTGCTCCTGCAAACTGAGGAGCCTGGGCAAGCGCAGCCGGGCTCTGCTGCTGCGGGTGTCTGCTCAGCATTGCTGCTGCAGGGGTTTGAGACGGGGATGTGGACCTCGCAGGGTCCTTGGCTGAGCACGTTTCTTTAAAGGGCAAAGCAAGAAACCCCCCTGTGGCTCAGCCCTGGGACTGAAGCTGCCAGGGAACCTCTGTGCTGCTCTACTCCGACACCGGGAGCCCTGGGTTCTAGGTAAGGGGGTGGCAGCCCGTGCCCGTTGGGAGCCTGATCTGCTTGCTGTGCCCGTCGCTCTCAGCAGAGCTGTTTGCTGAATTACAGTCAGCTGCGCTTCCAGCACGCCCAGGCTGGGGCCGCGTGGCCGCTGCCGAGCAAATGCTGCAGGCAGCGTGCGGAGGGGGGGCGGCACTCCTCAATTTGCAAATAGCTGAAGGGCAGCTTGCTAATTTGGAGGCTGGGAAGAAAATGACAGAAGCGATGACAACGAGCTTTTGAAGAAGTTGCTCCGAGAAGGCTCGTGCAGCACTGTCGCCGCTGAACAGGACTGTAGCATCCACAGACGTAGGCACAAAAAAGAAAGACAAGGGAGCTGTGAGGTCTCCTTTTCTGCTGTGGAGAGCAGAGAGGCTCCCTTCTTCCTTTTCTCCTGTGCCCTCGCCTAAAAGACACGCGGGTGCTTCTTTCAGGCCTGTGTGCCTTTGTATGCTGTCGACCAAACGGCATCGAAAGAGCAGAACAGACTCCAAGGTGTGACTCATTCTCTGCATTTCGGTGCAGCACGAGGCTTCGCAGCCTGGAATTATTTATAGCCTCCTGCGACACGGAGCTGAGGCATCCAGGCACGAAGGGCTCGTTGGTTCCTTCTGCCTTCTTAATGATGCCGCTGCACTTTCCCTGGCTTCTGGTGTCTACACCTTCTGGTCTCTCTGCTGTTGCTCTCTCATTTGAATGGTGTGTGCACCTTCCTCCGTGCTGTGCCTCTCCGGGGG